CCGGTGGTCCTTCTCCATTTTCCCAGCCTCCTATTTCTGGTAAGTTTCCATTTTATTTTATTTTACATTCTCTTAGGACATGGGTAATGGGTTCCCTACCCCATCTGTAAAGGACGAGGACAATTAAGTTAGCCATCAGCAGAGAGTGTAGTTGAAATTTCTGTGCGGTGTGTTATCTTGTGGTTTCTGGTAAAATTTGACAACACACAACACCAAGAACAGTGTCGTGAAATTTATTTTTTATATTTTGATCACTAACTGCTATTGCAAGCAAGGAAGATATTTTGTATCTTATAAATTTTACAAATTCGATTGGCCAGCAAACTGTGCATCTTTTTGTCTGCTAACTGCTTTATCATGATAATCATTTGACTGCATGTATATTTGATTAATTGTTGGTTTCTACTCTGTATATGATTGCATATTGTGTTCACTGAGCATTGTTGTTATTGTTTTGTACTTTTTTTTAAAATCAGAATTCTTAGAAGATGTCTATCCAATTCCCACTTCTTTTTTAAGTTTTATCCACAAGAATTGCATGTTTCTCTAGATGGGAAATCCTGCAGCCTCAAAAATCAAAATGTTGTCTTCAAAGTTTCAAACATAGCTTGATAGCATCTCATACTATGTCAAATATAACAATGTTCTCTCTCACATTTTCAACCCATCCAAAATAAGTAAATTCAAAAAGTAGTAGTTTCTGAATACACACACCTGGCCTTTATTTATTATGGTAAATAGTATTTGGTTATGTTAAAGAATATCCCACATCGGAACTTGAAGAGAAAATAAACCGGTATATAAGCCCTTGAGTTGAACTAACTAATCGATTGGATTCAATCTTTTAATGTGGTTCAACCCAAGTGTCTTATTGCCTAATCCAGTTGTCCATACCCATCCTAAATTCTATCATGGTATCAGAGACAGTTTTAGCCCACCTCGTTTGTCAAGGTGTCCGTCTAGACATTCATTCCTAGCGGCCCGTTAGTCTTTAGCCCAGTTATCCGTATGGAGGTTGTACCCAACGGCCTGTAGACGTTCATTCCTAGCGGCCCGTTAGTCTTTAGCCCAGTTATCCGTATGGAGGTTGTACCCAACGGCCTGTGGCCTGTTTAACACGATTGCCCGTCTGGAAGTCCATACCCAGCGGCTCGTGGTCCTTTAGGTGTTGGCGCTCAAAAAAAATCAAGAGGATGGGAGTCCATTTGCAAGTGGTCAACCGGTTAGATTCAAAATGGCCCGGTTGTCCACTTGAGGGGGAGTGTTAAAGAATATCCCACATCGGAACTTGAAGAGAAAATAAACCGGTATATAAGCCCTTGAGTTGAACTAACTAATCGATTGGATTCAATCTTTTAATGTGGTTCAACCCAAGTGTCTTATTGCCTAATCCAGTTGTCCATACCCATCCTAAATTCTATCAGGTTATATTGCTTACTCAAGAGCTCCTCTCCCCATGGACTTTTAGTTTAGCAGCTTTTTTGCTGCATGTTTTCTCTCTCTCTCTCTCTCTCAATATTTCTTTCATTTTGTTTGTAACTTCACAAATAACATACCATGGTCACACAATGTATTATCTATGCTTTTCAGATCCAAATCAAAATAAGAAAAAAGGTCCTGCGTATCTGCTTATATGTGCTTTAGCCACAGCTGGTGCTTTGCTTTTGGTTGCACTCATGTGTTTCTGGGGCTCCTTCCTCTACAAGAGGCTGGGTAAGAATGATCGCAGAGGTCTCTCCGTGGATGTTGGAGCAGGTGTATATCCATTTCCTTTACTTAAACATATGAATTCTATAGCATTTCCTTTTGGGCTTTGCTGCAGTTTTTTTCTGTTTCTCCATCAAGCCCTTCAACTTTTTTCATGCATTCAGGTGCTTCAATTGTGATGTTTCATGGAGATTTGCCATACTCATCAAGTGATATTATCAAAAAGTTGGAGACACTGAATGAAGAACACATAATTGGTTCTGGTGGGTTTGGAACAGTATACAAGCTTGCAATGGATGATGGAAACATCTTTGCCTTGAAAAGAATTATCAAAATGAATGAGGGCTTTGATAGATTTTTTGAAAGGGAACTTGAAATTCTTGGTAGCATTAAACACAGACATCTGGTAAATCTGCGAGGATATTGCAATTCTCCAACATCGAAGTTGTTAATATATGATTTCTTACCTGGAGGCAGCTTAGATGAAGCTCTGCATGGTTAGAGTCTTTCTTCCTATTATTTTACAACAACACCAACAACAACCCCAGTAAAACCCTACAAAGTGGGGTCTTTCTTCCTTTTATTTTGAATAGTAAAATCTGGCAGTAAACAGATGAGTTGATCACACAAGGATCCCACACATGTGTGTGTATCTATGGAAAATATTTGAGTCATGACTGTCATCCTTTGGCGACAGTTCCACTCAGGAATCCTCCGCTTCCTGATACATTAATCTCCGCAGTTCTGTGATTTTTGTAAACTTTAAGGATAGACTGTGGATGAGATTTTAAAGTATGATGCAACATAATAGGTTATTCCTTCTTGCTGGTTAGTTGTAACCACCGTGAAGTGCCTTCTTTTTTTTATTATTATTTTGCTTTCCTCTTTCTTGGGTGGGACTCTGTAAAAAAGTAATGGCTTTGTTTCCTATGCAGAGAGATCTGAGCAACTGGACTGGGATGCACGAGTAGCAATTATCATGGGAGCAGCAAAAGGGCTGGCATATTTGCATCATGATTGTTCTCCTCGGATTATACACCGTGACATAAAGTCTAGCAACATCTTACTTGATGGTAACCTTGCTGCCTGTGTATCCGACTTTGGATTGGCCAAATTACTTGGAGATGAGGAGTCTCACAAAACAACAATTGTAGCAGGCACATTTGGGTATTTAGCTCCAGGTTGGACTATGAATGAAACCTTAATTTCATTATCTGTTCATTGCAATTTTTGGTATGCAAGATGCCAATGTGGTGGTCCAATTAATACTTATATTAGTCATTGCAATTCTTCTAG